TCCTAATCAAATTATATTTTGTTTGGGGGGTGGGTTTCTGTCCACAGATAATCTGGCCAATGTTCTTATAGCCTCATATGTTGTTATAGTTGAGACAATTTTCTTAACAAAGCTAAGGAAACACTCAATGTCTTGTGCTTTAATACTATGCCCAGAAAAAAATTTTGAACCAAATTCAGAGATAGTGTAAACTGACTCTCCATTGACTAAAATTAAGCTGCATCTGTATAGGCTAGCTTTGACTCTAGCTCTCATTCAGATCCGGGGTTGGGGGGAGGGAAAGGAGAGGGATGGGGGCGCTTCAGTGGTGCAGTTGCTTATTGTGAAGCCTGATTTCTTCTAAGCTTTTCATTTCACAAGAGTCAACCACCCTGTCTCCCTTTTAATGGTCTTAATGTTCTGCTAATTAAGCTACCATTTCTTTTGCAATTCTGGGGTGCGTGTCCACATAATCAGCATTTACCCGCTAAAAATGTTTCTGGTTTAATTTTCCTTCCTTAGTGTATGATGACTAATTCAGTAACATGGACATGATTTACTGTGTAATGGCTTATTTTGCTATAACTAGTAAAATGCTCTAGGGGACACATCAGAACAATTTTACCCCCCTGCCCTTTCAGTACTACTTTACTGCCAGGTAGCGTTTTAGGACAAGATTTGATATTTTGGTTGGTTTATTTTCTTGGGTCATGCTGTGTTGTTTTTTGGGGGGAATTGTTGGTGGCTTTGCTTGAAAGCCACAGGTTTTTGGTGGGGTTTGAGTTCAATAGGTAGTGCTGTCTGTCTCCCTTGCAAAGCCTCCTGCTTTTTTGGGGAAACTTGTTGCTTGTTACACGGGGCACTGCTGGTTGGGGCGGGAAATTTTTTCATGCAAAGGTCTGCAAGAGTGAGCCTGCCTGCCCCCCCTCACAAGTCTGGATTGGCATTGTGGGTCTGTACTGCAGGCCTCCCAAAGGGGCTACCCCTGTGCCCAAGCTTGGTCCCAAAGCAGTTCTGCCCCCCACTTTTTCTGCACATTTATTGCACTAGGTGCTGGGTATGGGTACACTTAGGGCTACACAAGGGTACATAAAGGGTCTGGCTGTCCATCCCCCCCTGCCTCCCTGTGTGTTGGCATCTGGGTATCATGTACCCAGGCTACCCAGATTAAAGCCTGAATGGAAACATTACTACAGGAATTTTTATGTAAAATAGAAAGAATCCTGTGTCTCTTGTCTTTTGTATCCTCACATCAAAAAGCAGACTTTTTCCAAAGCTGAGAGCCAGCATGGGGGTGGGTTGGGATTCTTATTGAGGTTGATTAAGATTCCTTGGGTACCAGGGATCCCCGTGCCCAGGACAGCTTCCCCCAAAGTGGGGTTGGGAGAGCTGTGATCAGCCTATTCCAACTCCTCCTTCCCCTCCCCCTGCGATCACCACAAAATGGCCAGCATGGGCCCACAGCAGGGGCATGGTGTGGGTTCAGGTGAAGAAAGAAACAGCTCGGGCTCAGTGAGAGGAATTTTCTTATCACTTAGTAGGGCTGTGCAAAGCTTCAGGTGCTGATTCAGTTGGGAGGAGATTTGGCCCAATTTGGTAGCTGAATCTCCAAATCTGAATCAAATCAGGAGACCAGTTAAAAGGTCCAAATCTATCTGAAGCTCTCCAAAATGATTCGGAAAAGATTCGGAGAGCTTCGGTGATTTGGGCAGTCCCTGCTCACTGCAGCAGGGAGCTGGACCAGGACTCCATGCTGGTAAGTAGGGGGCAAGGGAGGGGGGCCTGAAGGAGGGGACCATGGGGAGACCCCTGCCTGCTCCCCCAGCCCCCCTGAGCACCCCTGCCCAGCTGCAGCCCCCAGCTCTTTAAAAAAAAGCCCCCATTAACCAGCTGCTGCTGTACTGCTGTTCCTTCTAAACTTATTTTTGTCCCCAGCAGCATGTCTGTGTCCCCTTTTGACCATCCTCTGGTTGCCATTGCTCTGCCTGACAGTCATACTGCTGCCTCTTTATGGGAGTGCAGGGGGCTGTGGGTCAGGAGTGAGGGGCACCAGCTGGGCTGGGGGTACAGGGTGCTGCAGGTCAGGAGTGAGGGGCACCAGCTGGGCTGGGGGTGCAGGGTGCTGCAGGTTAGGAGTGAGGGGCACCAGCTGGGCTGGGGGTACAGGGTGCTGCAGGTCAGGATTGAGGGGCACCAGCTGGGCTGGGGGTGCAGGGTGCTGCAGGTTAGGAGTGAGGGGCACCAGCTGGGCTGGGGGTACAGGGTGCTGCAGGTCAGGATTGAGGGGCACCAGCTGGGCTGGGGGTGCAGGGTGCTGCAGGTTAGGAGTGAGGGGCACCAGCTGGGCTGGGGGTACAGGGTGCTGCAGGTCAGGATTGAGGGGCACCAGCTGGGCTGGGGGTGCAGGGTGCTGCAGGTTAGGAGTGAGGGGCACCAGCTGGGCTGGGGGTACAGGGTGCTGCAGGTCAGGATTGAGGGGCACCAGCTGGGCTGGGGGTGCAGGGTGCTGCAGGTTAGGAGTGAGGGGCACCAGCTGGGCTGGGGGTACAGGGTGCTGCAGGTCAGGATTGAGGGGCACCAGCTGGGCTGGGGGTGCAGGGTGCTGCAGGTTAGGAGTGAGGGGCACCAGCTGGGCTGGGGTACAGGGTGCTGCAGGTCAGGAGTGAGGGGCACTAACTGGGCTGAAGGGGCAGGGAGCTGCATGTAGGGAGTGAGGTTCACCAGCAGGGTTTGGGATGACAGCTGAAAATCTTTCCTGGGCCAGTCCACATGATCAGGGATGTCTAGGAGAGTCCCCAGTGCCAGAGGTATGGCATGGGGTGGCCCTAGCTCTGGGGTGTAATGGCCACATATAACAATATATGGGAATGGCAGATATGCACCCAGCTCTGAGATGTAACAGCTGCATATAACAATGTATGGGGAGGGCTGAGATACACCCCAGAGCTGAGTGCAACAGCCACATATAACAGTTTAGCACAGCCCTCACCATACACTGCCAGAGCCCTTCACTCCTGATCTGCAGTCCCCTACCCTCCTAGGAGCGGCGTGCGCTGGATCCCATTGGGATCAAAGGCAGCTTGGGTTCTTTCTGACTCCCCTCTGCTATGAAGCTGGGCAGCTTGGCATGCAGATGGCACATGGAGGATCCTGGAGGCACTAGAGCCTGGAGCTACAGTTAGTGGCCTAGGTATTAATAGCTCAGTGGTACAGCTTTTGGGTGCCATGTGGGTGACCTGGGTTTGATTCCCAGCCAGGGTACTGGAGGGCTGAGTTGCCTGCAAAAGGGAATCCCTACCGAGGAGGGGGGTACCCATCGCTTCTTTTACCTCTCCCCACTAGGATGCCTGTGCCTTAAATTTTGTGGGATTTGCACCTTATATTTTGTGAAACCTTGCATCTTATATTTTGTGAAACCTGCGCCTCATGGCTGTTATTGATTTGTCTGTTATACGTGTATATTCACCTAAAATCCCTTTGACTCCCCCCTGCTCCCCTGGTTCTCTCCCACCCCAGGTGCCCAGAGTGGGGTACCATTATCTCCCAGGGTCCCCTTGCCCCCCACATATGTGTTATATTCCACCCTGTTCTTTCCCTATTAAACTCACACATGGTTAAGTTCCAATTGGTCTCGGCTCTACCTCCCCCAAAAGTGGCTACTCCTCCCATAGCACATTAAGATCTGTGAAATCCCTTCAATTGGAGAGGGGGTACCTCATATGAGTACCACCTGGGTTACATTTACAACCCAAGTTACTCCTACCCTCCCAGCCCTGCCGATCCCCCTCATTCCTGACCTGCCCCACCCAGCCCTGCCAAACCAAAAACCCAGTCCAACAAAAGTAATTTTAATTAACCTGAGTCTTGGACTGCCTGACCCATAACAATTTGATCTTTGCCACGACATGCATGAGAACACAGGGAACAATTTTTTTGGAATCCAAAAAAGTTGTATTTTTCATTCATCAGAATCTTGAACTAAATCACCAGTTAAAATTTGCAAGATTATCACTTGGAGTCTTGTTGAAGTATTGCAGTAGAGATTCGATGGATTTCCATGGATTACCGAGTGAACCCAAGCAGCACCTTGCGGTGTAATAATTGCAAAGCAGGGAAAATCACATTTTTGGGCATAAGTCAGATCCATGTTCAAAATTTAAAATGATAAACCCCACATGGAAGAAATTGAGGAGCTAAAAATAAAACATATCGGAGGTGTTTTAAATTAGCACAAAAAAAAATCTAGAAAGATAAAATCAGATGACAGTGTGGATACACAGATGCTATTTAGCTAGCTTAATGACGATGTTTATCATGTGGACAAAGGAAAAGTGTAACATGGTAACAGGAGAGGTGTAACGTGGACAAGTGCTGGTGCTGTCTATTAGCTGGTCCTGGTAATGTAGCTCCTATCTCATAGTTCTGCAGACTGTTTCTAACTCTAACTAAAAATATTAACTCAGGTGTGGAAATAGCTTTCAGTGAAGCATTGGATGAACTATCAAGGTGTTCAAGTAGGCTTGATTTTGTTTAATAAATCTGAAAGAGATGTACATTTAATTCTAATGAATACAGGACTAAAGGAATAACATCTTTTGAGTATTTGAGGATGTTGTGCTTTTATTACATTATGTAGCAAATTAATGCATATTTCAATACGTTATATTTATTTTTGCTTCCATCGTAAAATGAATAATATAGACATAGGCCCTTGGCATGTTAGTAAAGCTTCTAGTTTCTTTTTACTTCTAAGAAAATGTTAGATGTGATGATGCACCACATCATTTGTACCCCCTGCTTTTCAAAATCCTAGATCCACCCATGTTCATGTTTAAAAAAAAAATTATTAAATGTGTTTAATAGTTCCTTAACTGGGGAGGCCTAATGCTTTAAACATTGTTAGCCTATGTCTGTTATTCTGCCAAAGTAAAGTCTAATAGTGTCAGGGCACTACATAACTTGACATAAACTTTTGTTTCCGTGCATTTAGAAATCCAATTCATTCATATTTTCTCCCACAGGTCTAAAGCCTGATATCCAGTTCATTTCATATTATCTCTCTGCCTCTCTCAAGCACAGGTACATCTTTGTAACATAGTTTTTTTGTATGGTATGATGTTACCTTTTTCATACAAAAGGCAATTGTACTATAATTAATTAATGCTAACCTCCTTGGTTGCTCATGGACCTGAGACTACTTAGAAAGAGTAGTAAAGAATTTAGTAACAAATTTAACTCCTGTATCTTTTTCTGGGAGATGCTAAACTTCTTTCTCAGCCTAGGATATATTCTGTATATGAGGACCTGTTTCAACATTTATCACAAGCAAAGTAATGTGCTATTCCAAACATGATATATTTCACTTTAGTACTGCTGACTTCAGCTTACTAATTGCCTGACAGCATTTTCTTTGTTAAGTTTTAACTGTGATCATCACACTTTTGTTGTACTGACAGTAGAAATATTCAGTAACAGACGACCTAAATACATCATAAGCACAACTGTACTAATCTTTCATAATGGGTGTGCTTTTGGCATTATATGGAACACGTGCATATAATCATTGTCAGGAGCTACATGCATTCAAGTCCCCAAAAGCATCAACTGAAAGCATTATCTGACAAAGCATTCTGATTCTGAATGCGCATGACTTACAACCCCCCAACCCATAAAGATGCAGGTTTTTTTTAAATTTTATAACCAATTGAAGCTGCTTATTAAATCAGAATCAGCAGGATAAACATATACTACCTGCATGTGGCCTGGATCAAACTAGTCAATTCCTCTTGTGATGTCCTGAACCCACAGAAATCCATGAGTATTTTTTCTGCTGAATCCATTTATGTTTCTGATTAAAAAACAAACTTAAAAAAACACACAAATCCTCAGACTGTAAAAATATACCATGTGTAGAGGAAGAGTGTCTGGAGATTATCTAATTGGGCACAATAGAGTGTCTTTTAACTTTGGAAGGGGAAAAAATATGTAGATCAGGTAAAAGGCATATTGGTTTTCAGAAGTCTAATTGATGATCTTAGAAACGAAGGCAAGAGTAATGTGCTAGGTTACTGTTACAATTTTCCTTTTAAGTTGTTCTCAAATAGGAAAAAGCCAACAATTAATATACACATGCACCCATGCGCATGTGTGCAAACACACATACATGCATACACATGCGCATCATACAATGCTGAAATTTTTTAATGGGCTATTTCCATTACAATTGAGATTTCATTCTATTTCTGTCATCCAGTAGACATGTAAAGGTAATCAATCTTAAGTGAAAAATTTGGTCTCTTGAATAGAGCACAGAACCGAGGGCCAAATGTCCTGGGGTTTTTGCCTTGTTCTGCAATTGATTTTCAGTGTGACCTCACTTGCTTTTCTGTAGGGTATGGACAGATGAACAAATTATACTGAGTTAAAGGGGAGGGATTTGCTGTGAATCGGGTACTCTGCAGCAGTTGTTTTGTTTCTAGTCCTATCCCACAAAAAGTGAAAACTAAACCGTGGTAATTTAGCACTGCTTTAATTAGGGAAGTGGTTTTCAGCCTTTTTTGTAGACTCAAGGCACTCCTCATTAGGCTTGAGGCACTACTCAGAAAATACCAGCATTTAGTTTTCTCTAAATTTTGACTACAGAAAATAATAGAGCAATCTTCTGTTGCAAAAACCACCCCTAACACATCAGAAAGAGCACAAGTCAGATTGTTTTTAAAACCTGATTCCTATTTGAAATCTCTGAGCTTATTTTGTGACTTAACAGTGCTAATGCTGTCTGGCACCCCATGGCATGCTGCAGCACCCTGGGTGAGAATCACTGAATGAGGGGTAAGCTGCACCTGTTTGCCTTTCATCCACAGTGGGATGAGTGGACACACAAAGCCTAAGCAAGAAAGTAGCTGAGGTGTAGTAAGCACCACTTATATCCTAACTTGGAATAATTTATTCACCTGTATGTATCCTCTGATTCTTTATCTTTTAAAATTAAGATAATACTCATTATTTCACAGCATTATTGTGAGTCTTTGCTAATATATGACCAGATCAAGACATGCAGGCACGTGTGGTTTGTTGTGCTACAAACCTCTTATGCTCTTTGCAGCACCATAAGCCGCATGTGTTGCATGTTAAACTATGTGCAGCACTGCTAATTTGCAGTGCTGGAGCAGAATTTGCTATTGGGATTTCCTGGGAGCAAAAAATACCCTTAAAATTAAAGCAGCGCAAAATACACCAAAGTCCTGTGCGTTGGGACAAGTGCAGAGATGGCTGGGTACAGTGTACCTTGAGATGGGGGAGCAGGCGGCCCTGGGCTGCCTGTTCCCCCTGTCTCCACATGTCATTCCCCAGCTGTCTGGGGCACAGGGTCAGCTTGGGGGCTGCCTCCTGGCTTGCTCCCCACTGAGACACCCTGTGCCTCAACCAGCACCCTCTGCAGCACACGGAACAGTGGGACAATGTGTCCCACTGGAAACCACACGAGCAGGGGCAATCACTGCAGCACAAAGTAGTAGCACAAATTTGTGCCACTACTATGTGTGCTGCTGCAAATCCACATCCCTGCTTGTGTAGATGTGACCTATGCTGCAGGCTCCCCTGACAGGTACTGGAAATAGTAGATGCGGCAGGATGAAATTTCACAGAATAATTTACTCAACATTTTGGGTAAAACTCCAGCCTCATTTTACTTTTTTATGATTAGATATATTATTTTTGTGTATGGTGAAAATATCTGGTTTATCAGTTACTGTTTCTAACTCACACAAATGGTTCAAGATACATGGAGCAAATTTGATGGTTTATTTGACACCGTTTTGAGTTTAGTTCATATAGGTAAAGCAAGAGAGAAGGGAGACTTGAAGAAAATATTTTCACTTTAGATCTAGAAAATATTTTTTCTTATTTGTTTTTCCTCAAAATTGTACGCATAAATATTTAAAATATTTTTTTTAAATGAAAAGCTGTTTTGGATCAGGTTTTTTGTCTTGATTTGGGAGCAGTGTAAGCAATGGTATAAATTAGACTGAATTATGATTCTTACGTTCAAAGGATAAGTAGATCCACGATTGTGCATCTGACTTGTGCATATTAACTTTACTTGAACACTTGTATAATGGCATGTGTAGATGAAACGGGGGTTTACTTTGCCCTAAATTGAAGTGGTGGGTTTTTAAAAACACTGCTTCAATTTAGAGCAAGTAATCCCCTGTGTCATTTACATCCATGTCTTACCTGCCTCTCTGGCAGTGGGGAGGGGAGGGTGAGCTGCCAGTGGCAGAGTGGTCCCTGCGATGGGGGGGGATGGGGGAGAGCTGGTGTTTCCCTCTGTGGCAGTGGCAGCACCCCCACCAGGTGGCCCCCACCCACAGGCACCCAGCTCAGGCAATCCCAGGGGGTACTGCAGTCGCGGAGGGAAGGACCAGGCCCCTGTGCAACTCATGCAGGCAGGCAGACTCCAGGGGGGAAAAAAAAAAAAGATCAGACTCACTGCTTTTTTTCCCCCCCCCTTCAGTGGAGCCTGCCTTCCTAGGCAGTGCTTCGCTCCGCGGCTGTAGCTAAAACTCCTCGGAGATGGCTTAGTTTGCTGCACCCCAAAGTCATTTAAGGCGCATTACACCACTGAAAGTGCTACAGCAGCTGGAATTAATGTACAATACCTCCGATTCATGCAAACACCAATGCCTTTAAAGTGGTGCAAAAGCATTTAACCCGCTTTAAAGTGGTGTGCACATATGCCCCTCGTTTCGTCTATACACACCCTAAATGGCTTGTTATTTCTCTTCCCTGGAATCTGCATGTACATTTTTCATTCCAGTCATCTTTAAGAATAAATTCCTGAATGTTTGTTTAACTATACTTCTGAATCTGTTACATTAGTAAATTAAATACTAATGTAACAATTAGTATGTTGCACATAATCATGTATGTTAATGGTCACTTGCACACACAATTTAACAAACAAATGAGAGGCTGGGTTTATTTGTGATATTTTGTTTGTTTGAAATTCTGGTCAGTTTTTAATTTTTTGTTCCATTACCTGCAGTAATTTAATTATTTGACCCCATTATAGCTCACATTCTGTAAATACTTACACATGTGGTTAGCTTTGTGTATGTGAATGGTACCATTGTTCTTACTGGTACTATTCATATGAACAACATTACTGGTAAATATGAATGTGAATCTTATTGTAGATTAAGGCCTATATTGGGAAAATAGGAGCAGTCACAGTGATGCAGGGAAGAAAGGGGTGGGGTGCAAGAGGAAGTGATTTACTGTAGTTTTAAGGGGAATTTGTTGTTATATCATATGATATTTCTCAATCTATGAATTAGTTTAATGTGTGCAAGTTTTTAATAGTTACAATTTACAAAGATTATTTTCCTTGTTTGATAGTCATTGGCTTATTTGCATTAATCTTATATGAAAATGAATAAGGAATTAATTTAAAAAATCATACTGGCGGTAGATTTTATAGTTTATGGCTGGGCTACGTTGCATTGAAATGGAAGTTTGTAGTGATTTTTGTTGTGCACTATATCATTATAGCATTGCTCCTCTTGCCAAGCTTACGGGGCATATTTCAGTCTCTATGACTTTGAAGTATGTGTTCTCTTAAGGCTTAACAATGTCAAGCTTCATAACGCAAGAGCTAGTTTGCTTACTTCCTACTTTAAATTGCTTGTAATTTGAAACATGCAAACATTTCCACTTTATCAAGCAAGGCTACTAAACATATTATTGCTGCAACCTGCATGTTTTATAGCCTCTGTATATTTAGAAAGCTGTGCTTTATTAAAATAGACTGTAAAGAGGCTTAACTCATTATGGAATCTTCTAGTCTCTAAAATGAAAGATCTAAATTTATTATAGGGGTTTAGGAACCTAAAATTTTAAGAAAGGATGTGGAACTTTCACTACAGAAACTATATACCGACTGTGTTTTAGGTCTGTGATATCTGCAGCTGGATTTAAAGCTTGCCACAGGATAGTTTTATCTAGAGCCGGCCCAAGGTTGGCACTTCCATTTTGTGAGTTTTCAAGATTTGAAAATTTGTTTTCATTCATTCTTGGAACAAAACAAAAAATCCTAAATACTATTTTAATTTTTTTTTGCATTAGTTCCTTATTCTTTTTTTTTTTTTGTTATTGCAAATATCAAGATACCCAATTTTATATTAATCTTTTAAGATTTTTTTTTTATTCAGATATCTCTCTCATTGGGCATGAAGAGAGTTCATCCAGAACTTAGTGGGGGAGGCACTGAGGGCCCAGAAGGTAGAGGAGGTGGGAGTCCATGAGGGATGGTCATAGCTTAAGGGGATGATCCTCCAGGCCCAAAGGGTAACAGTCCCTGAGAGAAGCAAGAGGGGTAAGAGAGCTCAGAAACCCCCTTGGCTCAGCAAGGGCATTCAGGAATGCCTGAGGACTAAAAGGGTGGCGTAAAACCAGTGGAGGGGAGGAGCTATCACCAAGGAGGAGTACTCCTCCTCAGCCCATGAGTGTAGGAGGGCTATTAGGAAGGCCAAGGCAGAGATGGAACTCAGGCTAGCGTCCAGGATTAAGGACAACAAAAAGTCCTTTTTCAAGTACACTGGGAGCAAGAAGAGGGCACCAGGCAATGTAGGGCCCCTGCAAGACTCAAATGGTAATCTTGTGGCTACAGCAGATGAGAAAGCTAATATTTTTAACAGTTTCTTTGCCTCTGTTTTCTTGAACAGGAACTGGGACATCTCTCCTACTAGAGGTAGG